CTAACTTCTTCAACGAAATCCCGTCAAACTGAGCATTTATTGCTTTCATGTCATTCAAACTTCACTGTTCAGTAGAAGTTTAATTGTAACAAATTGCTAATTAAAAAACGCGGAACTGGAAACTACTTAGCGAACGTCTACTAAGGAGCAAAATTGTAAATATCAATTGAAACAAACAAAAGCGGACTAAATTACGAGTTTAGGAAACAGGCGGGATACAGTGTCCCAAACTGTGCGTAACCAATACCCTGAGAGCGCCGAGTGTACAAAATACCATTCAGTTTTCATCTAGGCAGAGCCTGGCTATAGGTAGAAAAAGGAGCTAGGGTCGCTCCGTATCCACGGATCTTATACATTTAATTTCGCGCGCAAGGGGTACTGCATCTGGCCTGTTTTCCTAAACCTTGTCCCGAAGCAAAGATGGTGTGGTTTCGTCTTCTTGGGCTATCAGAAGTCGCTAAAGTCGGCTACGTTTCCACAACGAGGGTCGTGGTGAAGCAGAGAACAACCAAGCCATGCGAAATGGGGAAGCGTCAGGTGTACGCAATCGTGGAGAACAGGAACGCCATGGGGTGTGACTGCCATGACCTAATCCATTAACGGATTGAGTCAACTAGCTACTACAGGCTAACTGATTCGCGGCGATACCGCGCCTGGGATGTGATGAAGAACTCTGCTGGAGTGCTGGTGCGAATGTCGCGTACGTGGCACCAGCCCCTGATGTTACGCGTTGCCGCTACGTGGACTTAACGTCCCGTATCGGATCTCAAGGCCATCCTTTAAAAACTCCCATGTTTTTTTCCTTTCTGGGGCAATTTCCAAAAGGAACATCAGGACATTCATGGCTGAAAGTCACATTAATCGCATTGAAGCCCGTGATAACAAGGGGAGGGCTTCAAGGACTCTTCATTTGAAAGACTAGCCGAGACCTTCTGACAAAAAACCAAAGACCTCACCTGTTCAAAGTCCTCTTGAGAAACGAGATAGTCTGATTTTGGTTTATTCTGGCAATATCGTACGTACATCGTTTCCAGTCTTCCCTTCTGAAATATGATAAAGCATAAAAACGTGGGATTCGCAAGACAAGCACTCCTTTCTTCATCATAGGAAGCGTTCAGACTTCGCGACGGCAGCGCTTCGGTCGCGCGTTCGACGCGATCGATGCAGTCGAAAGCATGCGCACAGATCGCGCCGAACGCTCGCGAGGGCTGCGTCGCGAAGGCTGAACGCTGCTATATACCGGGTACGCCGTACGTGAGCGATCCGCCGTGAGTAGATCGCTAGGGGGGGCATTTGCTTTCAAGAAAAATGAGAGAAATTTTTGGAAAAAAAAACTCAGGAAATGTCGGAGGAATTCGCAAAAATTCAGGAGTATGGCGGGTGGGATGGGGTAGGGGAAAGATGAGGGGGGGATTTTTGAGAAGAGGTCGTGCTTTAGAATTTTTTTGCGCAATGGCAGAACGTGCCCTAACCTGGCCTACCTGGCGGATTGTTAAATTCTAGTGTCGATAGGAAGACGTACCTTCGCGCATTCCTACTCCGAATGGTCTCTATTTTGAGTGGAGGGAGATGAGGACCTGATGAAACCAGAACTCAGAAAATATTTGCCACAGACACTAAGGGAGAGGGTTAGGTAGAAGGTAGCGAGCCTGAACCTTTGAGGCCATTTACGTCGTTTGACCCCTCCCTCAGCCACGAATATGGCTCCTTTATGCGGTTTCGCACAACGATGGTGCACCAGTATACCTACCCCACCCCACATCCCAGCAAGTACATCTACCCTCCATCCAGCAAAGTCAAAAGCAAGAGCGCAGCCTAACTTTTCCCATTCTATGCCTTGTTTTCCTATTCATTTGTTATTCATCACCACATCATTAGTCATTCCCTCTCACATCAAAAAAAAGGATTTTCTAGGAAAAGCGACTTTGTTGCGCTCATTAAAGAGGAAGAAATCTCTCATGTCGTCTCACATCCCTCAGTTTCCATCACTCATCGGGAAACAAGCCTCTCCTTAATAATCATCAGCGCATTCGCACTGATTGATTCCACAGCATGGTTGATTTTTTGTTGGAGATTAAGAAGGATAACTCGGCGCAATAATCTCGCGAAAGAGGGGGGAAAGTCATTTAAAAAAGACTCCTTGGCAAAGAAACTAGAACGACAGTCATGGAGATCGAGATTTTGCTTGCCAAGGCCTAACAGCGTAACGAGCTCCGGGTTTAGTGAGCCACTGACGGTAACTACCCGTTACGTTATACCAGTTTCAAGCGAGCCCGAAGGTCCCCCCTATGGTCATAACCGCCAAAATTCTCATATCAATTGCAACTCACATATTTGACAAGGCACTTCGCGGACTTCGTAGCTTATCAAGGCACTTTTCATTTCTTCCGAAACCTGCTGAAAAACACTTGATTTTCGTGACAAATCGATTTCATATTATTCTGGATGATCGAAAAGAAACGCCCACAACGACTTTTTTATGGAATTCAGAATCTGTGCGATATGGCGAATATGAATTTCTTGTCCTTCACCAACAAGATCTGCTTGGCATCCATTTCGCCACCACAGAATCAGAAGAATTCGCTACTTCGCCTCTACCACTAGACGACACGCACTCTCTCATACCATCCCTTTTTTCCGATCTCTAACAAATTTCCATTAGACACCCACGTAGTAATAAATTTCCATCAAGAAATATATGCTAATAAACTAACATAAAGATTCACCAGGGTTTTTTTGTTTTAATCGATAATAATAGTAACCCCAAGAATTGGCAGGAAATACATACTCGACGCGTCTCACTCAGTAACCCGTTCAAAGACCACCATGGACTGCTTTCGGATTGCGTCATAATCCTATCTAAACGAAAATACATCAATGATAGGTTCTGAAAAAGTAGGGAGAATGCGCTAGACCCGGAGAACGACAATCGGTGTTTTTGTCCTCCAAGGAAACTTCGGAATAAAAAAAATCGACTCACACCACTGTGATTGCTCGCGGCGAACGCACATAAATGATTGGACTTGGACCAGGAAATCTCCCCTAGTATTATAGGAATTCAATCAGGTGTTTGAGGACTGCCACGATCACTTCTACATCAGGACATTTTCCTACGGATTAACATTCGCGAGGATTTTTGATCTGCTGTAATCTATTATGCCCAGTATCACGTTTGCGCCCACGTTATGCACTCAAACTTTAGGCCGAACCAACTAAAATCAAGAATATCAAAGTCCTAGACATCATGCACTACTATAAAATACCATAGGAGGCGAGCGAATTTTTTGGAATGAAATCTTAAGTGTCGGCTACCTACAGTACCCCTCCGTTAACGCTGGAGATAACGCCAAGGACACTGCGGCAAGAGATGCTCATACAATAACCCGGGTAGAATAAGTCCTGCTCAGATCCTTCTGAGCCTGCTCTGTACTATGAGTTCTCCTCTGTGAGCAGTCGGCCATCAAAGAAATCGTTTAGGAAGGGTCAACTTCACATCTGCGAGCCCCTGTGAGTCCCTCCCTACCGCTCTGAATTAAAGTGTCGAGTGCGCAGCGTATCCCAAAGATTGTCTCAGCACTCCATCACTTAATCCCCAAAGGACAGCAGTAAAAAGACTGCAGACTGCATGAAAAACAGTAACAATAAAGCGCATAATAACCACATCTCTAATCGAATTTCTAGAAAAGAAAAAACTACAGTACCCCAAAGTTGAACCTACTCGATTCCATTACCATTGGGAATTGGTTGGGCCCTCGTGAGCCCAGGTCACGGCACCAGCCTCACGTCCAATTCTGTCACTACGGAATGGCGCTAGTGCCGACACCATTTCTGTAGGGGATGGTTTTTGCATAACAAGGGGTCGAACAGGTGGACCCCTTGAAATTTGAGCAAACACCCTCAACCACTCGGCTATCCCAGCTTCGGATGCGATCTTTTTACTGCTGTTTTCGAGAAATCCAACCTATCGAAACCTATTCTTCCCATCATTTCAATCCCTTGGTCCTCGGACAACTTTGTTTTTGTTAAAGCAAGAATTATCAATGACACCCATCGCGCTTACATTGGCAAAACAAGGAGAACAAATGGCACTGTCTGGCTTGGGAGGGGCACCTTGCTAGTAGCTTTTTCTGGTTCATATTGAGTAACAGGTCTCATTTTGGTGAGATCTGTAAAATCTTGTGAAGTGCGAAAAGGCACAAGTGGTCCACACTGTTTACAAAAGTTTACAGGTCTTTGCAGGGCTGATTTGTGAAGGCTTCGCTGAATGCCATGTGTTGGCTGCCCCCACGAAATCAAACTGCGTTGAACATATAACAGAGCGAGTTTCGACAACGTACTTCTCGAAATGATGCGGTTTATTGCCGTTTCCCTCTCCGAAGCCGTGCACGATTTTTCGCAGACTTCATTCAGTTCGAATTTTCGTTCCAAAAAGACTTCTCCATCAATGTCTCGTCAAGGGCTTGCAAGGAAAATGGCATGTCTCGGACAAAAACACCAATCGCAGGACTAGTGAATGGCCGACTGCCTGAATCCAGCTGAACTCTTATCGCCAATAATCTAGAATGTATGACGCCCATTAAAACCCACACTAAACCCTTCGAAGACTATGAAAACAAAAAAGATGAACACGACATTAATGACTGCTGCAGCGAGAGATCTGTTTGGTCTAGGTACTTTTGGGGTAAAAAATGGGGCCGCGCCAAACGCTGCCATCACGCGGATGGTCAGAGGATAGAATCTGAGTTAAATGCTGCTCACGGCAACCAAGGCTTCCTATGACCTGGACCTGCTCCCATGGATTCGGTTCAGTGAAATCAGCCCTAGAAATATAAAAGCAGCGCAGGATAGCCTCTGCAGCTCGCTGTGTGGACAATAAAGTGACGCAACTCGGCTAAGAGGGGGGGGGTCATTCAAAGGACTTTTTGTGCAAAGCAGGGATTACCATGGTTAAGACGAGGATTCCTGCCTACCGCGTGAGCAAAAGCTCTGGGATAAATGAACCAACTCCTTTTTGCAAAATGGGCTGCGCTGCAGTGGTACCACGACCTCGAATCCTGCAAGTGCTCTCTCATAGAACATTCAAAGACCATTCTGGCTCTGAACGTGAGCTGAATGCGTGGCTCATCGCAAAAAGGCCAACAACCGTCAAACATTATCCATTTGCCATACCATATCCACGTAGGATGGGCATCTGCGATCACCTTGGGCTTCAAACCCAGACTTAAGGGAAGAATTCGCCCTGCTCAACTCAGCTACCGTATCCTCATCCTTCCAAAGGTTTCAGACGAAATCAATAACTCAGAAATTCGCCACCGTTACGAAAAAAACTTACTGCCGCTTTAGACGAGCCATCTCCTCGGGCGTTTTCTCCTGCTTCTCAGGTGACTCTTCTTCCACACTGTCCCTCATCTCTTCCGCAGCGGCCCCCGTTGCTTCTTGTCCCGCGTCTTCATTCTGAAATCAAAGGAAATAAGAAATGAAATTGGAACACTCAGCTCAAAACCATTGCCAATGCATTATGGCAATTTTTTTGACCGATTATTCACAATTTCCCTTCCAACAGCTTCCCAGCTACTAACTAATTCTAACTGGTCAGAATAATCCAAGAGATTTTCTTGAAAGGGACATTGCACTCGAAAAGTCCCAACTGGTAATCTGTTATTGATAATTATTGTGATTTAGTGAAAAAAAACTACAGGAAACAAGCAATTACCAAAGTACATACATAGGAGTAGGTTACAGGAAATCTGACTCAAAAGTTAAAATGATAGTGGACGAATGATTTATTAGCAGACGGTGGCGACTGCTCATTGTGCATGCACTAGAGGCGTTCAGAATGAGTCAACCGGCGCAGTTATGGATTATATCACGAGGGTGCGTAGAAGTCCAAACCAAAATTTGCATGTTACTTCAGAGTGCATTTCTTTCAAATTCCATACTTAAAGGCACAGTTCGCCATCACTCAACATGCCATATCCCTTCGTAGTATAGGCTGACACGGTGCGCAATCGCAGAGGATGAACCA